AGGGGGGAGGAGGAGGGAGGGAGGGAGAGGGGAGGAGGAGGGGCAGGGGGCAGGGGGCAGGGGGGAAGGAGAAAGGGGAGGAGGAGGGGCAGGGGGCAGGGAGAAGGAGAAAGTGGGGGAGGAGGAGGGAGGGAGAGAGAGGGGAGGAGGGGCAGGGGGCAGGAGAGAAGGTGAAAGGGGGGAGGGGGGAGAAGGGAGGGAGGGGGAGGGGAGGAGGAGGAGGAGGGGAGGTGGCCCGGCTGAGCTCGGGCTCCTCCCAGCGGCGGCCCCGGGAGGCGGCGGCGGCTGCGTGCAGGAAGCTCCGCCCCGCTCCCTCCTCCTCCTGCCCCCCTCCCTCCGCCCCTCCCCCTTCCCTTCCTCCAGCCCGCCCCCTCCCGCCGGGGCCCAGAGAGACGCGGACAGAGCGCCGCCGCCGCCGCCCGCCCCTCGCCGTCCGTGCCTCCCGCGCCCGCGCCCGCAACCATGGCTCTATGCAACGGAGATTCCAAGGTCAGTCAGTGGAGCCGCCGCCGTCCTGGGCGCGCGACCCTGGCCCGGGCTTCTCGGGCGGTCGCCGCGGGAGAGTCCCCGGTCGGGGCCTGCCGCACTTCCCGCCGCCGCCGCTTTGTTGGGGCGCGAGTGTGCGCGCGCGCGCGCGTGTGCGTGTGTGTGTGTGTGTGTGTGTGTGAGTGTGTGTGTCCGTGTCCGGACGCGGGGGGTGGGGGGTCGTGCATGGCGCGCGTGCCCTGGGCCCGCGGGGGAAGCGCCCGGTGCCCGGCTGTGGGCGCGCGGCGTGGGGCGGGGGGAGGGGCAGGGCCGCTGTGGGGGGGCCCCGTCCGCGTTGGCCGACGGGGGGGGGGGGGGGGGGGGGGGGCGGCCCCGCCGCTAGCCCCGGCCCACGTGCGGAGCGCCGCCCCGCCCGGGCCCCACGTGGCTGCCCAGCTCCGGCCTGGGCACGTGGGGGCCGGGCCCGGGGAGGGGAGGGGGCCACTCCACTTCCCCGCCTGGCTCGCGCGGGGTGCGCAGAGGAGGAAAGCCCGTGGGGGTCGGATCCCGCGTCCTCCGGGGGCCCCCTTCCCCCATCCCATCCCCCACCCCCACGAATCGCTGGCTCTCTGGTATCACATTCTCTTCCCTCTTCCCCTCCCCCATCGGGTTACCCCGGTCAGACCCCCCCCCACACCCCAGGGGCTGGTTTTGTGGCCTTGCGGGCACCTCGGCCCCCTCCTCTCCGAAGCTGGGCTTATCCACTTGACCTTTCCTCTCGTGCGTTTTCCTCCCTCCGAGGGCCGGAATTTGAACCCCGGCCTGAGAGTTAGTGTTGGGTCGGGTCTGGGCTTCCCGGCCGGGAGGGTCCCTCCCTTCACCCTTGAAACTTCTCAGAGAAGCGGCTCCAGCCGCCGGCTCGGCTTTTCACCCAGCCCGAGCCCAGTGAGCGTTGAACGAGAAGGACGTTTAACTCGTGTGTTGAAACCAAACAGCTGGCGTGTGGTCCTGAAGAAGGCTGCGTGGGCAGCACCTTGAAGCCTCCATAAGTCTGCTTTTTCGTCAGAAAAGACTCGGGGTCAAATCCCGCCATGTGTCCTTGCTCCCTGGTCGGCACGGCCAGTCACGTAACTTACTTGACCTTAGTTTGCTCATCAGTAATATGGGGAGAATAGCGATCGGTAGTACATGCTTCCTAAAGTTATAACATGGGATTATAGATGTGAGGTCATAGAGGCCAAATCCTTCATTTTACGGAATTGGGGTTCCTGCAAAGTACAGCTTTCGAGGGAGCATTTGAACGGAAGCCGTCTGACTCCAGAGCCAGTGCAGAGAATGTTCCTAAATTGCTTTGCAAACCTTAAACATCACGTTATTATTATTTCCATAGGTTTAATGAACAAGAAAAATTTTAAGATCCAATTTATATTCCAATTAATTTCAGTGAGAATTTGGGTGCATATAAGTCATCTATAATTAAAGAGGAATCTTTGTGCTCCAGACCTGGAGGTTTGCCTTCATCATCGGAATGAATGTTGTTAGTTTAATTTAACTTCCAAAACTCCCCCTCAAAAACTTGTAACCCTTTTGCTTCCTGTTTGGTCAGGGATCCCTTCTGGAGATTTATGGCATTTGAGTATGGTCAGACAAGGCTTGATCAGGAGGAGGTGTGGACGGGTCGTAGTTTGTTATTGATGTGCCTTGGAAGGTTTGCAAAGTGCTAGGAGAAGTAATGCAGGCAGAGTTTTGCCCTGATTTTTACAAATAAGCCAACTGAGGATCTGAGAGGGGAAATGATTAGGGCCTGTAGATTTATAGCTGGAAGGGGTTTTAGTGACCATCTAGTTCAACCCCTTCATTTTACAAACGAGGAAGTCAAGTCCAGAGGTTTAGTGACTTTTCTAGGATCAAGCTGGGAGCGTCAGAAGGTAGAATTTGAACCCCAGTCCCATGACTTCAAATCCATTGTGTTCTGTCCACTGTGTGTTTAATGTGCAGATCACACAACCAGGAAATCATTTAAGGGGGCTTCCAGCCTAGCCCTCCTGACTCCAGGTGCTGTTGTGTTCACTGCCTCACCTGCTGCTAAGGGAATATGAGTTTTAAACATTGAAGAATCCAATAATTCAATAATTTTGAAATAGTTGTGTCCCAGTTTAATTGTTCGTTTCTCTACATTAAAGACATTTGTTGCCTTACGGTATTATTAAAACCTGGTTTTACTGATAGATAGGATTTTAAATTATTTGGGGCTGGGTGGACAAAGCTTATTATTAAACAAGTCTTAGATGTTGTAATGGGAGCTCACTGGCCTACCGTTGCCTTCCCCCCCAACCCCAAAAGTGAACTGTCATTACTAACTCATTTCAGCTTTGTGCTCCTTAAAGTTGTGTCACTTAAGTCACATTTAAAATGCCTGTTTTTAAAAATTATTCAAAGGAAATTGATGTTGAAGTCTTTTGTATAATAACCCATAGTGTTTTTTTTTTAAATCACTATTTTAAACCAGGACACTTTTATTACATAAATTCCATAGAGCTTGAAGGGATGTTAAAATTTCACTTTTTTTGTTGATTTAAACAAGCTAGAACTATAAATAAAACACTTATGTGTTTACTATGTGCCAGGCATATGGGGGTGGTGGCACACACCAGCAGTAAGCGATCTTTTCTCTTGGGGAGGCTGAGTCTGGTGGATTGCTTGAGCTGTGCTAAAATGGGGTGACTGTTGAACGTGAGACTAGAGTGATGAACCCCCTGGAGGAGTAGGGTGCCACTAGGCTGCCTAAAGCTCAGATCAGAAACAGCAGGTCAGGGCTTCTCCATTGATTTGCAGTGTGATGGGCCTGTGTGAGTTGGCTGTTTTTTTCTCTTTGGGTAAGCCAGGGATTTCCAGTCTCAAATTAAACCAAGATAAAACACTCACGTTCTAGATACTGTCAGAAATGATCTTGGCATGTAATTCAGCCTCTTTTTACAGATGAGGAAACTGAGTTCCAAGGTCTCTCACCACAGAGGTGAGACCTCCATCTTTAAGTTAATGCAGCCATTTAGATTGGGGGAAGTAGTTGGGGTATTTAAGGCTAGAGAGGGTCTGAAATGGTGGGAATCCAGGCAGATCTCTCACTCAGATACAACTGGTGAATTCTCTAAAGGGACTGCTGTTACTAATACAATGACATTTCTGTAAGAGCTTCACTTTGAATTAAAACACAGAATAAAATTCCTAGTTATTCTCATTAAAATCTTTTTTTTTGTTTTTATTATTTATAATTTCCACAAAACTGTTGTTTTAGTAGAAAGATCTTTGGGCTGGGAGTTAAGTGGCCTGGATTCCTTACTTAACTTAGATTGGGTAAATGGACAAGTGGTCCGGTGTCTCTGCCTTATTTGACTTCTGTTCCAGTGGAGATGATTTACTTTACCTCAGAAGAAAGCTATCATTTTGGTATGTCATGTGACGATTCTTGTAGCTTTTTGGATAAAAGGCTTTAGGCCTGTTATGGAATGTGAATATTTTTAAGTGTTTAAATTAAATATTTCTTGTATATATTGCTTATAGGTGAGTGATGACGTGCAAGGTTTTTGAGCTACTTAATTTTGAAATGAAAGGCCAGTTGACCTGGTGGATCAGAGTTGACCTTGGAGGTGGGTTCAGGTGGAGCTTCTGAGACATACTGGTGTGGGATCCTAGTTCCTCACCAGGGGCTTCTTCCTACATTATCACAGGTCTGGTGGGGGAAAAAAGCCTGCAAATTATAAAATAGAAACTTTAAATTATGCTCAGTACCAGGATGTGTAGTATACAGAAACTTATTCTGATCAAATAATAAATGTCGTCAGTTGTATGTCAGAGGTAAGAAGTCCAGATATTATCAAACTCATTTTTATAGAGAAAAAACTGAAACTTGGAGGTTAATTAGGATTTATATGGCTCCTACTATGTGCCAGACACTCTGCTAAGTGCTTTACAAATATTATCTCATTTATCCTCACAACAACTTTGGGAGGGGCTATTGTGATCCCCATTTTATAGTTGAGGAAACTGAGGCAGACAGAGGTTAGTGAATTGCCTAGGGTCACACAGTAAGTGTCTGAGGCTGTGTTTGAACTCAGGTCCTCCTGATTTCAGACCCACAGCTCTGTCCACTTTGGTGCCCCTTAAGTGCCGTAAATGAATGATTCCAAGTAATGTCTCAAAGACTTTTTGCTTTGGTCTTGCCTTATACTTCAATTCCAAGGATTCTTAGGCTGTTATGGTGACTGGAGCATAGTAGATATATAATAAAGGCTAATTGAATTCAGTGTGTCAAAAGACACAGAATATGCTGCTATTGGTTTGCTTTCAGTTGCATTATGTTGCTTTTAGAAAGTTGGAAACTCTGAAAATTCTCCAGGTAACAGGGTTATTATTGAATGAGGAAGACAAACTTGTTACTTAAAGTATTTTTTTAAAGGACAAACGTTTCCTTTTAGGTATTGAAAACTTTTTAAAGAGCCTACTTAATGAAATACAGAGTAATTCCTAACAAAGATTTGGGGGAAACCACGAGGAAATCTTCCTGCTCCTCTAATGGTGTGTGGAATAAACTGTTGTTAGCTTTCCTTAGACCTCTCCATTGATGTGAATCATGATGAATGATTTTAAGGCATTGGAGGCTCCCTCCCCCTAGGGCCTTCTGAGGGTCCCTCTTCCTCCCTTCTTTCCCATCCCTCCCCTCTCCCAAGAAACGCTTGTTTACTTTGGTTCTGATAGACTGGAAAGGGCCTTGGATCGGAGCTAACAAACTGGGGCTTGGGTCTCAGCTCTAATATTTGCCTTGTCTGTGGGAAAATCATTTACCCTCTTGCACTTGTAAAAAAAAAAAAAAAAAAAACCCTGAGAATAATAATTCTTACTCTTCCTACCTTAGTTACTGTCAGGAAAGAACTTTGTAAATAAAGCACTCTATAAATGTGAGCCCTTATCAAGTGAGGAGGCATTTAAGGGCCTGCTGTGTGCCAGGCACTTTGCTAAGTGATATC